AAAAAAAAATGGATACTATGTGTAAGCTTACGTTTATGCCTCTGCTTTACTTTGGCGTATATATGTTATTATAGACATTTTACATGTGTTGGCCCACAACTTTGTTGTTCTTGGGCTTGACTCGCTAGACTGACGAGACATTTGTAGGTGTTGTTTATCGACCAGGCTATTGAGGCCTTGTTAGGTGTAGCTAGCCAACCAGGTTCAATCGACATTATTGATTGGGCTATCTTCTATTGAAAAAGGGCTAGTAAGATTAGCCCAACCAGCTAATCGGGTTTACTGATGATCGTCTACCCCTGATGACATCTTCCCTCAGCAGGGTGAAACTAGGCTATCGGGTAGAAAGAAAATTATCATAATTCGATAGATAATCACCCATAGATGAAGATGTCCTAAGAGATGGTTGATACTTGCCCATTGATTCATGATGCAACTCTGAGAGACCGTTGGGTGTCTTTGATAAACTGCAAGACTAAAGAGGTTAGTTTCTCCCTTGGATTGGTTTCATCGTGAGGGAAGCCTTGGATTCCCCAGTGTTTTGCTTCCGGTCAACCGCTCAGGTTTGAGCCATTCGGTTGCCTTGAGTAGCCTTGGCCTTGATACTTTTGATCAGATGACTGGGCCTCCAGATCTTCTGTCAGTGGGACTTCATTTGATATGACTTGTCATATCTGTATATCTTACAAAGATTCATATAAATTTTTTTTATATGTATATATTAAATATTTGAGTAGCATGTGCTGAGTTTTTAAGTGCCCTCAAATAAATTTTTAGGTTGTTATATTAAATAATGACAACACCCTTTAATTTATAAATAAGCCATCTCTCGTGAAGGTCGAGATTAAATTAATAGCTAATATATTTAATATTAAGATTTCTAAAAATTTGAATAAACTTTTATAATATATTTCTACATAAGATTAAAAAAAAAAAGATGACTAATGCTGAAAATTTTTGTTTAATATCTTAGAATCCGTTTGGGGCGGCAATGCGGTGGTGTTGCAGGACCACAACGCAGTTTTATTTGTTTGGATAGACTACATTTTTTACAACATTTTCAAATAGTTGCCGCTAAAATCTGTGTTTACCCACCAATTATGAAATAAGTTGCAGCTATCCCGAACAAACTCTTTTAATGATCCAATATATCATCTAGGTATGATAAATTATTTCTTACACTTGTTTTTGTAAAACTATTTTATAAAGACATTATTTTATAGAGCAAATTACATCATCATTTTTCCCCTTAAAAAATTGACATCATCACACATTCATGTCATCAAACTGATTTATTTGATTTGGTCTGAGTGGAATCGAGTAGATTGTTATTTAATCGCATACATATATTTAAAAACATTAAATTAGTCGTATTTATAAATTTATAATGTATGATATCATAAATATTTGAGATTCACATACTTATCACAAATTTCTTATATATTTACATATATAACACATAAACATTCGAATTTAAAATTACCATATTTTTAAAATTAAAATACATATGCACAAATTTATGTCACAAAGGTGGTAAAAATAAAAATATCAAAATTTGAGTATTACATATGTAAATACTTAAGAATTATAGGGTATGCATGTAAATTATTCTAAATATTATTCTTTATCCCCTCTCTCTATTTTCAATTAATAGAAATGTGATCCCACCTTCTTTTCCAAGACAATCATGACCAAGTCCAACTTTTCCTCTATGATTTAAAAGGATAAACATCCAGACAGCCCGCCTTTCCCTTTCCATCATTGCTTTAAATGAAAGGTTAATTAATGCTAATGAAGAAATCATAATAATTAATGAAGCTATTTGACTTCCTCATCTAGGAGCCTTAACTCGCAAGGCTTCCTCTAGTTTTAAAATTACTCGTCTCGTTTAGGTCGCATTACATCGATAATATGGTATAATTTACGTTAACATATTCTCTCTTGACCCACCCACCACATCAACCACAACTTGCCACTGACTACAAGGCGGACGTCACACCGCCTCATGCAGTCCACGAGCCACTGTTATTGTCTCCATCTGATCCTACTCGCACCGACACTGCACGCTGTCATTTCTTACCCGGAGTCGTCGCTCTCAACTATGTTGTTGTCGGCCTTATGCGACCATCTCCACCCACTATCACCACTGACCAGCTGAGCCGCTTAATCTTTTGAGGCCTACTATCGTAATTCATCAAGCTTCTCCTCCACCAACATGACTTTAACAATCTCCTCTTCATATAACATAAGTGAAAGATAAATAATAGTTATGAAAACATGTTCTTTATGTTCAATAATAATTAGTCTACTTATTCTTCTTTTCATTATTTTCCTCATATCCCTTCTCCTCTTCCTCAGCATTCAAAGTTTTTATTTACCCAACTACTTGTTAAAGCCATTAAATCTCATGATTTTACCATCCATCTTACTTTCCTTATTCTTCTCTTCATAGATCTTTTTATATGCTCATAATGACTAATAAGTTGTATGAAAATTTTTACCTTGATTTATTGTTTCACAAAATTCTTGTGTATTGAATTGATTTTTGTAATAATAATATCCAAATTTATTGAATGTTACCACCCTCAAATGACATGCCATAAATTTCTTTATATATTTGCAATGAAACATGAGTTATATGAATAATTGTGTCTTAATTTATTGTTGCATGAGTTTTTATATGTTAATGTTGTCATCAATTTTTGAAGCAACGTATGTGAGGCATCCTCGTTGAGTAACATGACGCTATAATTGGGTTCTACACCGTTATAGCTATGCTCCAAGTTGATCGTGGTCATACCAGCAACGCCTCTGGTATCCGTTGCATTGACGCCGCATAAAAAATGGATGTCAACAGTCCATTATTATTCAATCATGTCATTTAATTATTTCATACGAGTTTAAGAAAATATTATCTTATCCTCATGCGGCATTCAACTTACAATGAGAAAGAGAATCGGAGAACAAAATATGTACATATAAAATATGTTAACGTGAATATCAAGACAAATGAACGACTCAGGAAGAAGAAAGACAGATCAAACGTAGCTGTTGAGAACCGTTTTGAGTTGGACGATGGCGAGAGAGGCGTCTCATTCAGAGGATCGACGAAACATGCTAAGAGATTTCTCGCAGGGTGGTGATCAACCCTCGGGACAATGGACAGGAAACATCATTTTAGACTAAACATCGATTGATTCGAGACTTATCGAACGATCGACAAACTCTTATTGATCGAATCAGCCCCCTGATCTTATTATATGCGAATGCCTCTGCAATTACTATAACGTCCATCTTAAGAGTCAAATGTAAGTAGACTAATATGTTTTTTTGTAATACGAGGATCTATGCCTATAAATAGGGTGTCTATCTCTCTCATCCTCTACTTCTCTCTCTTACGGCTCTATACCTTCGATGCGTTCTCCCGATGCTTTTGATATGAACAAAAAATGTAAATAATGATGTTTTGAATATATGTATGTAAATCTCCGGTTAAGACTATATGTATCCTCTATTAATAAATAAATTAATAGATTCACTAAACTTGTACCATATAGGGTCATAAAAATTATATATTGTCCTTTCCCTTAATTTAAAATCAAAATAAAAAATGTGACATTTCCCTTTCCAAGCCCAATTTGAGCTGATCTCATCATCAATGATTTGAAAGGAGAATCATTTATCATTTAGAGTAGATTACATTTATCTTTCCGCCAATAATTTAAAATGACTGCTTAATTAATGCTAATAAAAAATTAAATAAAAATAATATAAAATTTTACTCTCTCGTAGTTTCCACCCGGCCTAAGTTGTGCCACCTTATGCGCGCCACTTCTAACAACCAAAAACTATTTTACTTATTTATACCAACCAAATCTTACACGTCATAAAAAATAAAAATCATCATTTTAACTTTTAAGAAGAGAAATACATCTTTTCATGTTACGATAAGGCAGCGTGTATGTAAGAAGTTGGAAGTTCTGTTCTCTGTGTAAATACATAAAAATTGAAGGGTATTTATGTAAATCTTCCTAAAAAATGTGTGGCTCAAATCAATATAAAATAAAAGTAATAAATTTGCTCTCTCAAAACCCTGTCAGGGCCCTCTCCACCTGCATTCCTAATGAGAGAATATCACATCAGGACTCTCAGCGCAGTTTGCGTTCGGAGTCCAATGATGAGATGTCACTTGTCAAGTAGGCTCCACCGTAATACACTGATATTGCCCGGTGTTAAAGACGGTGGAGCCCACTTGACAAGTGATGCCCCACTATTAGACTCTGAATACATCAGGAGTCCTGATGTAATCTTTTTTTCTTCATAATTCACCATCCTTCTCCTTGCCCAACACACCATCTACAGTCTTCTATCTCTATACAACCAAAGACAGAAGAAAAAGAGAGTTATGAATAGAATGATATTTATATTTATTTGAAGCATTTAGATGCATATCACATAATATTTATTTATTTATAAATCTAGCACCCGAACTTTCATATTTATGTTTACATCAATCAAATATATTAGTTTGTAAATATATGATGATGGAAGCATGCATGAGAAGAAAGTTTTATGTTTCTATATTGAGCTAAATCATTATTGAAAAGTTCAAGGACGTAAAAAAAATGATTGAATCTATAAATCTATTCAAATCTGACTTTAAGACAAAAAATTATATCAGAAGTTCTGATGTAAAACTATATAGTAACATCAATCAAATGCGCCAGGTGTACGTTCAGAATGCACTGAACGTAAAAAATTAAATAGTTAATGTATGGCGGTAGGGTCAGACAGTACACGAGACACATTCTGATCGGAGTATTGATATAATTTAACTTCAGTATTCTTGATGTAATATTTTTTTGGACATCAAGTTTAGCTTCAAGACTCTTGATGTAATATTGAAGTACTACTATTTTTTTTTGGGTGTACTAAAAAAATTAAAACTCTTCTATGTAAATAATAAAATTTAATATTTTTTTATTTGTTACCCCCTCCATTTTCCTTATCCTCTGAACTCTCTGCTCTGCATATCGTAAGCAGCACTTCAATCGATTCTACGCTTTACAAATCCCGCAGGGCTGGTTGGACCTCTGTTGCATTAAATTCATGGCTCTCTTCTCGTCTCCTTTCTCTTACCTCCCCTCCTCACCGCAAGACAGCAGCAGAGCCATCACCATCCCTCATTCTTTCAACTCTAATGCTTTTTTACTCCCCCAGTCTCCAACAATCTCTACCTCCTCCCATCTCGCTCCGACGATCCTGTTTCGTTCCCCGCGAAATTCCCTCAATCAGATACTGACGCTGAGCCTTTCAGCCGCTTCCATGTCATCTTCCACTAAGATCACCGATTTCGATGCAGCAGTCGACGAATTGGAGTTGGATGAGGATGACCTAACCGCGTCGCCGTGGGAAGGTGCTGTGGTTTACCGGCGAGATGCTTCGGTGACCCACGTCGAGTACTCGACCACGCTTGAGCGTTTGGGTCTTGACAAGCTCGCCTCGGGGCTCTCTAGGTCCAAGGCTTCTGCAATGGGGATCCGATTACCGGCCAGGATGGCGAGGGAGGCGACTCTGGCCAATGAGACGCCTGTGCTGATCTCCATTGACGTTACGAGGCGGAAGCGCAGGTTGAAACTCGATGGAATCTTGCGCACGGTTATTACCCTTCGTTGCAACAGGTAAATCTATAATATGCTATCTTGCGTTGAAACATGGTATGCAGATGATTTCATGTTTTATTGCCGTAGGTGCGTTTCTTTCGGCTCTACTAATATGAACGCCATAAAAAATTAAAAATAAAAATCATCCTATTGATCATTGCCTTTGCTAGGTGCTTGTTATGCCAAATGAAGAAGCAATTCTGCATTTAAGAAGTTCATTTTCTTCAACTTAATGTCTACCAGTGAATTTTGGGATTAATAACCAGATGACCTTTTACTTCTATAGAATTGTATTAGCAAGCACCCCTGCACAATGAGCAAGAAAGCTTTGTGAAATAGCTCTGTATGACTAAGAAGAAGTTATTCTAATCAGTTAAACTCAAAACTTAAATTTCCTATGAAATCTGAATAAGAGAATATAGTTGATATTAAAATTCACGAGTTGTCAATTCATGTTTTATTCATTTATTATTATTATTATCATTATTACTATTATTCATAATGGGCCGGCATGAATATAGACGAGTTGAATGATGGGTTATGATCAATATTTTCAGAAGCGTCACATAGACTAGATTTGAATGTCAAATGTGTAATAACAGAAATTAAGTAATAATAATAATAATAAACCGACACATCCCTTTAGTTATAACATAACAGTTGCAACCCTCACTCGATCGAATTGAAACATATTGAGCAAGGAAGAGGAAAGGAAGCCACATAGGAGAAGAAAGAAGAAAAAAGTTACGGCTATTGAGTAGCGTTGTGCCCAAGCCAAGGAAGGAGGAGAAATCGAAGGGAAGAAGGAGAAGAAAATTGGTTGAGCGGCATCGAAGACTTACCTGGACCGAGCCACGATCGAGGAGGAGGAGACGTCGACTCTGTGTGCTCTTGCAGAGGACGAAAGAAGGAGAAGACAAAGAAGGAAGGAAATGTGTCAAGGGATTAGCTGGATTGAGCCGCGACCTTCAACGCCGAGCCTTGCTTACAGATGAAGGAGACGATGGTCTCGATCACTTTTCGTGTCGCGTTTGTGTGCAGAGGAAGCCGTGATCAAGACGAGTAAGGGTTGCGAGGTTGTTGATCGTGCGAATGAATCGTTGCGGGTCGAGTCGCAATCGAAGGAGAAGAAGGGAAAGGAGCTCACATAGTTGAGCTGAAGGCAGGAAAAAGAAGCAGATAGCGAGCCCTTCACGGGAGAGGTAGGGTAGCTTGCCGAAGATTTAAGGTAAGTTTGAGATTATATTAAGTAAATTTATAAAATGTTATCTATATTTATGAGTGTGAATTTAATTAAGCAATATGTTAATATAAAGTCACTTGAAACAAACATTGTAAGTGGAAAATTTTCATGCCAGGAAGAAAGGAGTTGGCTTGTAAGTGAAATTGAGTTTTATGTGCGAGGTAAGAACCAAATCCTCTGGGTGTTTAATGTTTAATGATGTAAATTTGCTTAAATTGAAATTATTGGTTTACTTAATCATGCTCATGGCACATTTAAATTAATTAGATATTAAAGTAGAAAGTTGGAACCTAAATCAATTAAAGTTGTAAAAGAAAAAAAGGAATTCTGTGCAATGAAGCTAATCAAACTTTCAAGGTAACAAATTGCATATTACTTATGTGTCATTTTAATTGTCTGTCATTAGATACATTAAGTATTTCTTTTAAGAATAAAATTCTTATCAAATGATACCACAATCAATTAATACAGATGCTTATCCAAAAATAAGTGAAGTGAATGATTAAAGTGTTTCAGATATTTCTTAAGACTAAGATGAATAATTATTTTCTTATATTTATTAAATTTAAAGTTTATTAAATAAAGAATTTCTTTAATGCTTTAGATAATTATTTTAGGCATGTTGTAGCCTAAGAATTAAAAGAAATGAAAGGGAAAAAATGAAAATGAATGTTTAATGCCTTTAAAAAGGAGGTAATTTAAAGAAAATAAAATGATAAGTAAATGTTTAAGTCAATAAGATTACCCCTAGATAATATTAGTACGAGATGCAATGTGCCCGCACAAGTTAAGGGAAATAGTAAAGGTGCGCTTTCGGATTTAATTTGAGGCTACATTCAGGTACAATGAGGGTGTCTTCAAACACATTTTTTAAGGTGCCTTCAGACACAATTTTTTAGGTGTCTTCAGACACAATTTTTTAGGATACCTTTGAGTACGACAATAATTCTATGATGACTATTAAAAATGTTAAATTGGTAAATACTTAAGGTGAAATGAGAAATGATAATTTTAAAGTTTTGATGAAATGAATTGAAATTTTCTTTTGATCATTTATGCATAGCATAACATAATAATTAAATGCATATTTGATCATAATTACTCACTAAGTTATACTTATAGTCGCAAATTAATTTTTCCTTTCAGGAGAAGGAAAATTTTAGATTGATATGTCTGATAGAAGAGACTTTATTTACCAGAAGAGAACCATTGCTATTAGGTATTTTTATAATGATAGTTTTTTTACTGTTTCTTTCAGATATTGGAATATTATTTAGTACTGGCTTGTGTATTGTCTTTGGATATAATTGTTTATGGATGCTTTAGATTTTATTGCATTTTGTAGATTAGTGACTATTTTATATCTATTGAAAGTTTTCAAAATATGGATAGTTAGATGTTAATATTGTAGACCGTTGTACCCACCTTAATTAATTATAAGCACTAGGCGGGTTGTGACAAAAGTGATATTAATTTGATGACCGCATTATGATGATTACTCAAATTCTTAAGTAATATTAATAAGGAATTAAATTGTCTTTAATGATAATTTTCTTATGTTATTTCATAAATATAAATAATTCGTGGGATGAAGTTAAAGATGATATTGTATAAGTTGATGCACCCCACAGATAACTGTGAATACCAATACATTTACTGAGATGATGACTGTGGTATCACAGTTGATTAATAACTCTCAGACTCTAGTCAGTTCCAGTGGAGATCAAATGAATAAATATATGAAATTATTTCAAGATATGAGATAACTTCTCTTTTATGGAGGAGGCTTGGTTGATGCTGAAAACTGACTGCTGAGAGTGGAGAATATCCTAGATGAATTGTCTTGCTCTCCCGAGAGGATGGTTATCCTGGCCACATTTGCATTAGAGGGAGAAACAGAGAGTGGTGGCGTGGACAGCTGCAGAAGAAATTTGAGGGTAGAGTCAGTCACATGATTTAGTGCGGTGAGTTAGTGAGCATATTTAGAAATTGGTTCGTACCGCTGTCAGCTAGGAGACAAATGTAGGACGATTTTATCCGATTGGTACGGGGTGATCGATCCATTATGCAGTATGAAGCTGAATTTACTATACTCTCAAGGTATGTGCCTCAATTGATTCCTAATGCAGAGAAGTGCCATCAACTTTTGTCTGGGCTCATAGATGTGATTTGACAGCATTTGATTCCTCTTGGAATCAATGATTGCTCTATTTTGGTGGAGAGAGCTTGAAAGATTAAGCTGGATCTGGAGGCTACTCAGAGGAGGAACATTCAAAAGATAAGAAATTCAGAGGAATCCGGTTTTCCTCAGGGCTCTCAGAGCAGACAGTCCTTTCAATCAAGTAATACAGGTGCTAAGAAGGCTAGATCAAATAGCGTTGACACTCCTGTTTGAAGTGAAGAAGTGTGAAAAATCTGGAATGTCTCATAAGGGTGAGTATCTATCCAGATAGAATTCCTGTTTTTAGTGCCATCATCTAAGACATAGCGAAGAATTGCCCTAAATTGGGTCAGAGGGCTACAACAGATTTCAGGAGCAGTGCTCAATCTTCAGGGTTAGTGCCAAATACAGGTTAGATTCGGCAGAATGTTCAACCCAGAGTTTATGCATTATCGCAACAGGAAGTTAAGCACTCTCACGACGTCATCAGATATATGTTTTAATTTTAATATTTTCAAATCAATACACTTTTAACATCATAAAATTTATGTCACGTCGTACATAAAATAAATAAGAATTTAAATATTAATAAGATAACTCTAAATGTTTAATGCGATAATTTTAATGATAGATATAATATATCTTCATAGTAGACCAATAAGAGTATTATTTGATTCAGGAGCATCACACTCATTTATAATTGATGAACTGACTAAAGTGATGCAATTGAATATCCTTTCGATGTCTGTGATATTATTAGTTAGAATGCCGAATGAACGTTTTTCAAAAAGTTGATTAATCATGTGAAGTTGAGCTTATGATAAGTGAAAAGAGTTTTAATGCCCAACTTATTTTTGTTGCCTTTGGTGGAATTTGAGGTGAGTTTAGGCATTGATTGGATGTCTGAAAACTTTACCACCATCGATTGCAATAAGAAAACCGTCAAAATAAATGTACCTAAGGAGACAAAAATCAAATTTTTTGGCGACAGAGGACTGACCTATGATAATTTCCTGCATGAAAGTTTTTAAATGGTTGAATCATATAAGAAAGTAATTACTCACCTTAATTTGCTTGCTTGTTCCATCAACTCCTTAACTTCTGATCTTCTAGGTTCAAATGTTCTTCAACCTTAATTGTTGTTATAGATTAATATTTTTATTAAATACTAATTCTCAATTAGCTAAATTAAACTTTAACTTTAATTAAAGCTCTCCCTTTTCACAGTTTTCTTCCTCTGCACGCATGCACGCAGGGTCTCATTCCTTCTCTCCTTTCCTATTCTTTCTGGGCGCAATGCAGTGCCGCGGATCCCATCTCCTTTCTCTTCTCCTTCGCACGGTAACAACGCACAAAGCCGATTTCATCCCTCCTTTCTTCGACTATGGTTCGGCACGACAATATGTCACACGCAAGGCTCCTTCTCGAAGCCGCGTTTCCTCCTCTTTCTTTGGCTAAGGTTTCCTCCTTTGGCTATGCAAAAGTCGAAGTCTTCATGGTGACTTCTTTCCTTTTCCTTCTCTATCGATCGACTATGACATATACAAAACTTTTCCTTCTCTTGATCTCTCTCTCTTCCTCCCACTCGCTCGTTCTCTGTGGGCTACGGATAAAAATTCTGCTAGAAGCCCCTCTTCAACTGCACTTAAACAAATTGCTGGACGGTTATTATGATTCAATTTTTATTTTTCTTTTTTCAGTTATTACATATACATTTAATTTTATGGTTTCGTTATAGTACTTGGGCTTTTTTGCATCTATAAATAACATATAATAAAGAGGAAGGGAATAATCGTTAGTTAGCTTGTCAGTTTCTTATGCCTTTTTCTGTCTTTGTTTTGAGACATTTTACTTATCTATCGTAACATTCTATGCAATGAGATATTTTCATCTATGAAGGTGATGTATTATTTTGATCGTGCTAGGAAAGCAATGAGGGATGATCCTCATGTGTTTCTGTTTATTGGGTACTTTATTTTGGCATATAATATTTTTAGGCCCTTTCTTGCTATGCAATAACTTTGAACGTGTCTCTGCATTGGTGGCGACACCCATTATTCTTTTGTTGGTGGTGATACCCATTATTCTTTTGTTGGTGGCGATATTGTTTGATATTGTTGCTCCCAATAATAACAAAAGCTCCTTTTGTGACATTCTAATATTAACATTGAAAGTGGCCTGTCATTTTTGTGTAGCTAGTTATTTGGTGGAGATCAAGTTTCATCTTAATCCAAAGATATGCCTGATTTTGTCAGCTGCCATTATCTTTATTTGTTTTCATTATTGTTGCATATTCAAACCCCATATTATTAAAGAGCTCACCATCAACAATGAATACTTTATTATAATTATATTTATAATCATTTATCAGTAGATCTTTATTTGAAGAAATGTAGAAAAATGCACGTGTCCAATATTCATGTTCTAGTATCCGTTTTGTATTGATATCAACATATACATTACATTCATTCAATTCCTTTGGGTTTTGGCCTTATTTATGCTTCTTCCCTCTTTCTTTTATTATATAATTTCACTTTTCATAATACTAGCCTCCACTCAAACAATTTTGAGATTTACTTCTATTGTGATTTTATTGTTTTTTTCTTATCATGAAATTTTGATTTAGCTTTGTCCTTGCTTTAAGCTTCTTCATGCTAAAATTAAAAATAAAAGATGTTTCACATTCGTTTTTCTCAAGATGTTTAATATCATCATTGAGGATGAGACCTCTGACATCATTGATCTTTTTGGCTAATAATTCAAATGAATTATTGATGGGTGTTACAAGATTGCCCCAATGTTTGGGCAAAGAGTAAGCTTATGCATGAATCTTATTGTTGAACTTGATGTTCATGGAGTTCAATTTTTCTTGATCAAGTTGAACTTGTTGTGAGCTATGGTTTTTACATTATGAGATTGACAAACATAAGCATTTTATTTGTCTTATTGGTTCTGGAGAGCTTTTCATACTTACTAGAGATGGTTTTCATGACACCGGCTATAGTATGGATTTGAGAATTATTGAAGCCGATGTTCTTGCTGAGGGATAAAGAATGACCTCTAGAGCTTATCTCTCAATCAACTCCCACTACTTCTAATCGACTAATTGTGGCTTTATTTTCTTTTAAGGTTGATGAAACTTTCTCTGGTATAGATAATTCTCTATTTGTATTAGTCATAATGCGTAAATTTCATCATAAAAACTTGTTCATTCTTATTTTTGCCCTCCGTGCTTGAATAAAAAAGTCTTATATGTCATAATTTTGATCCCAATCATTATGAAATTGATAATATTTTGAGCCAAAATCAATTGAAGATGAAAAATCAGTTGCACTATTGATCACTAACACAAAGTATACAAGTCTGCATGATACTGGGAGATTCACCTACATCCATAGTCTCACATGCATCAAATACTTTGCCAAATTTTAAAATAGAGAGCACATCTATGTTTTTTTTTCCATACAAGGTGATAATAAGGATAGATATACCACTTGTCTATGTCAATAATTGAGATAGAATTCAACCACTTGCCACGAAAATGAGAGTTGAAAATGGAAAAAACATTGCTGATGCTTTTATCTTTTTATTTTTTCCATGATAGCTCCTTATCATGCCAAAAAAATTTCTTCTTTTGTTGAAAACAAAACTAGCAACGATACTTTCTTGCAGAAGCAAATCTTCCTCCTACAAGTATCCGGAGGAAATTAAAAATAATAATAATAAAGAAAAAAAAAACACCACCGTTTGTTATCTCAGATGGCAGCCCATTTTCCCTCTCTTTCGCTATTCTCTAAATTTTCTTTTGGTTGTATAATGCTAATCCCTCCTTTTTAGACTGTTTATAGAGATAAAAATAATGAGTTTATGGACATGAAATTTATTAATAAATTTCACTTGTTTGCTTAAGTTAAGAGAGAGAGAGAGAGAGAGGAATCTCTATAAAAATATTTGATCTAGATGAAATTTTGCTCCACATTACTAACAATAGCTTTGCATGCTAGGAAATGATTGGAGTACAGGGGAGAAATTTGAAGAACCTAAGATGGGAAGAGGAAGAGTGGGAGATAATGATGAGAGATTATGAGTGGGAGAGAGAGCCTTAATGTGGAAAGGAGGTGAAAAAACTGACAGGTAGACAAAATTGCTCAGTAATCATTTATAAAGCAATAAATGAACCCTAAGCATCCTTTTTATGTAGAAGAGACTTTAAGCATGAGTATAATAATGGTCTCAATAAATATGATAAGAAAATGTAGAAGACAACCAAATCTTAAATTCGTCAAATTAGTCAAAGAAGTACACTAATGTTAAGAGTTAGTGAAGCCAATCTTCACGTTTGTCAACATTATAGCATACCTTGATTTTATTGGAATGGTCATCATTATAACATGCCTTGAATATCTATTGAGCATAGATTATGGAGAAATACTTTGCTTTTATAACCTCCTCATAAATTATAATAAGTTAACCATTTGAATATGCCCGTTTTTATGAAAATTTTACATAAATAGATGGGTGCTCTATTAGAACAATTTTAATTGAAGACATACATTTGACAAAGAGTAAAGTGTCGAAGTAGACTTCTATTTATTTACATTCATAAAAGTGTCAAATTAGTCTCCATCCTCTTTTAATATGGGTTGAAATAGATCGTAGGGAGGACTATTTTAGCCCCCATTGAAAGAGTGATTAAATTGACACTTTTAAAGACCCTTGGATTAAAATGGTCCGCTACAAAGAGTCAATTGACTTTTTTAACACTTTTCTCCATTGGACCAACAATAAAATGGTCTGCAAAACGTAATGCATTCATGCCTAATGTAACCCAAGGCTGCATTCATATTTCCCTGGAGCCAGATGCATAACATTTGATTTACATTTCTAGGTGTGCTGAACCAGCCACTGAAAGCATCTTCTCCAACTTTGCTCTCTTATTATTAGAGGATCCCATCGAAGAAGATCAAGACAAAATTAACATGGGAGTGCTCTACGGCGAGGACGACATCAATCCTGCCACCAGATTCAACAACGACGAAATGGAAGATGATGAAAAGCTTATAGATCAGGATGATAAGCTCTACTTCCCTTGCCAAGAAAAAGAAATAGATATTTCTAAACACATCAGAGACCTGGTGCATCTTGAGATTACCATAAATGCTATCTGTGATGCGAATTGCAAAGGTCTATGCCTCAAATGCGGCGAGAACCTGAACAAGAAGAGTTGTAGTTGCAGCAGCCGGAAGGTTGAGCAAGCCACAGAATATGGACCTCTCAGGAATCTCAGAAAGCAAATGCAGCAGAGTTAATACTATTCTGGAATAGTTACACACACATCACTTGAAACATTGCTATTTATAAAACCAGCACCAATGTGATTATTTTGGACTACTGAACCAATGTATTCACATGTGCCACAATCTAGCCATTAAAGATGGGTTAGGGTTTTTTTCGTGAATTTTGATATTCGAGCGGGAATTTGAAAAATGGTTGATAGGGAGCACTAGATTTGTAAATAACAATATTTCGAGTGTTATGTATGTTTATTTTTTCTTCCATGCATTTATGCATAAACTTGAGATTACTGAAGGCATGCCATTGTGTTGATTGGTGTGAAGAGTTTGGTGACTGGAGTAACTGTTCATTCTTTTTGTAGAATGACTGTTGTGGATGTTAGGCAGTATGGATTGGATTTCAACTGTCAGATTAATGGCCTCTAGAGCTGTTTGATTGCAATTTTATTGTAGGAAGATTTCTTCAACTTTTACATGCATGTCATCTTTCCTGTGCATGAAAAGGTGTATTTTATTTTTAGAAGTTAGAGTGATAATATTTTTGCTGTGATTTGAAAGATTTGGGTGATATAAATGTAAAAAGTAAAATTTACGTGTTAGATCTGTAAATACATGAGAAGTGGGTGGCATGTATGTAAATGTCCCCTTTACAATGTGGACTGAAAATTTCTCGTGGATTTACTTATCTCACACTTAAAATTCCATATTTACAGGAATAACATTTTACCTATGCTTGAAAATGTAGATTTGACCATTAAAGAGCGTAATTAGTGCTATTTTTGGTGTGATACCGAAGAATTGGGCGTTATGCGTGTAAAAATGAAAGTTTTGGCGCGAGAAATGTAAATCCGTAAAAATTGAGTGCTATGCATGTAAATCTCCCTTTCTTATAAACAAATATGTAAAATGTGATAATTGTAATAAAGTTAGTATTCAACATGTTATCTTGAAATAAATCTTATTTAAATCAAAATTATTCTTTTTTTGGCTCTGAATTTTCTCTACAAAATTGCATATATTTTATGGGCTGCAGAAAGTTGCTGCATGCATTCGCTAAGGACAAAGGTTTGATTTTTTCCACTATAAAAAAGCATTTGTAAAGCAAAGTTCTGACTCAGATGTCATGACTGCAAAGTGTTGGTGACTTCTGTAATTTGATGTAGGTGGGATTAGCTTTAAAGATCATGTAAATAATTTTTAAAAGCATTTAAATTTAAACCAGCTAAGGATAATTTAGTAAAAATATCATTTATCAAATGAAGAAAAATAAAAAATATCTAACTAAGGGCCTGTTTGGGGAAGTTTATAACTGCGGGCGACATTTTGAAAACGCCGTCATAGCGTTTGTTTCGCGTGTTTTAATTGATTATTCAAAAACCGTGTTTTCTAATTGTGAAAGACGCAGCCCGCGGGATGACCCCCACGGGCCGCGTTTTGTTCGCTTCTATTACTTGCCTGCCCTCGATCGTGTTTTTTTTTTTTTTCATATATTGTCATTTTTTGTAATACAGTTTTTGTGATTATTTGAAGCTAATCAAGACATGAGAAAACTGCAACGATCTGATGGATTTATCCTTTCGTGATGTTTATTGAATTTAAGTACATGATGATCTCTTACAGTGAGTCATCTCCTCCTGCGTGTTTTCATGTTTTTTCAATTTGTAATGTAGGTTTTGCAATTCTTTTTGTGCTTTTGAATGCATGAATTGCATGAGAAAAAAATAATAATTTTGGACTGGAATTTATGAATTTTAACTCTTATTGAAATAAAAAAATGAACAATGTTTTTTCAATTAAAACAACCAGCTTGGGTTTTAATCTATGAGGGTGTTACTTGATCCTTGTGAGCACTCATTTGTTGTAAAACATGTGATGTAAAGATCCACTATGATTTATGACTTAACATTTATGAAGGATGTGCCTTTGTGCATGCTTTTCACTGGTGATATATTTGTAATGGACAAAACTGAATATATGGTATCTCATTTTAGTAGTGATCGATCTAGTGGCGGGTTTGTAACAATGGTTGATCAAGGCATTATGTTTCTTGGGAAGAGAGTGTTGTTGAAATGATAATTTTTGTAGCATGAATGACCTCTTAAAATGTATAATTTTTGTAATTTTGATAAAGTTGAAGTTTGTTTTTGTTTCGTTTTTGTAGAGCTTTTGAATGATCTGTGTATATTGATGCCAAAGGATGAATATGGCATGAACTGCATGCTCTGTTTAAATACTTGAGTAAGCTTATTAGTTCACGTAAGAAGTAAGATAATTCCATATTGTTATGAATATGGCATGAACTGCATGCTCTGTTTAAATACTTGAGTAAGCTTATTAGTTCACGTAAGAAGTAAGATAATTCCATATTGTTATGAATATGGCATGAACTGCATGCTCTGTTTAAATACTTGAGTAAGCTTATTAGTTCATGTAAGAAGTAAGATAATTTCATACTGTTATGAAACTTGTGTATCTACTGAAAGTAATGGACATGTAAGAAATTGAAGAATTTGGAAGATACTGATGATCCAATTAACTGCGGAAATTTCAGTGTATAGATAAATATAAATGACTGTTATACATAACAAATAGTTTCCACAGGCATATTAGTATGAGAATGTGTATTTTACTTTTGTATTAGTATGTGATGTAATCACCTCCATATTAGTATGTGAAGGTGTATTTTACTTTTGTATATGTAACTATGCTTCTTTGATGTGATCAGAAATATTTGAGTTATATAAATGTAACTCAATTATTTTGTATTTTCAAGTCATAACATTTGAAATTTAATTTTGTTGAGAAAATTACAAATTATGCGTGACAGATTGTTCATTTAACTAAAAAAATCTGTAAATAAGCTGTTTACAAAACACACAAACCAAACAACTAAACAACTTATCCACAATAAGGGCAGAATAATCATTTATCCAGAATCAGCTGTTTTCCAAACGCACAAACCAAACAGCCAGCCAGCTTATCTGGATCAGCTGCTCATCAGCAGATTATCAGGATAAACTGCTTATCAGCAGAAGCTGGATAAACTGCAGCTGCCCCAAACAGACCCTAAGAGAGTGCAGGACACACCAAAAACTTGCTTTTGAACTAAATTTAGGGTTCTTTATTGTTTGATAATTTAGAAATTTAAATTTTAAAGTGATGAAATTTGTGCGGATGAGATAGTGACTCGATGGTTGGACATTTATTCAAACACTGAAAGACCCCATGCTCGAATTTACCGAGTAAAAAAAGAAAAAAAATGACAAAAATTGATCTTAGGATCTTAATAATTTTTTTTAAATTGTTCATCATCTACGCTGTTTGATGCAAATTAGTTGCTTGAAATTAGAATATGATTTGAAAACCAAGCTATTATATGAAATTAAACATTACACTCATATCCTCGAACCACTTTATAACTCACTTCAAAGTGAGAATTTTACTTTCACACTTACAATTGAGTACAAAATTTTGAAAAAGAAGAGTGTCAACCGATTGAAGAAGAAAATGCATTTTCATATTAATATTTCAGAATAAAAATAAGAGGACTTAACACGGGCTTTAGTCGACCTAATTATCCATCGTTAACTAATGTGATCTCTAGTTAAATTAAATTATCCTACATTATATGGTTCAACCATAATTAAAACAATTTTATTAAGGTGGTCTCAATTAGATTAATATTGACAAAATTGATCCAATCAAGGCATGAACTAGTCAATTAGCCCTTTGTCCAAGCTTAATTAAATCATAGATGCTTAGATTGTCGTTATTGATCCAATTTGGTTTAATAAAGCTCCTGCTTAGGTAAATTGGTAGGGTATATAAAGTAAATTACTTCGATTTGATTGCCATTAATTATATGTTAACAGGCTTGAGATGAGCATATTTTTCTTTAACCAACCTATTTGAGTCTAAACAAGCCAAATTGGCTTATGTCAAGTATTAAATAAATTTTATAATCTTATTTCCTCATAGCCAAGTCCAATTAGACCTCATTAAATTAAAATGACCTATGATTGAGCTTAGTTGGTTTCAAAAGGATCCAACTAACCATATACCAAAATTAATGATGTTAGCATAATTCAACTCATTAATCCAATCCAATGCATCTAATTGAGCTTGATTATCAAATCGACCAAAACGTAATGCATTCATACATTAGCCTATGCGGTTCATGTGCGACTCATTAATGATTTGAGGATGACAAAACTTGTGTGATTTCAATTAATGATTCATTAGTACATTCTATAAAATTATTTATTTAATAGCAATTATTAAGAGAGACAACAATGGAGGATGAGAGGAGGGAGAAGAAGAGAGAGAGAGGGTTATAAGGAGAAACATTCTTTACATGATTATTAACAGCCTTATCCCAACCAACTATAGTTAAGTTGGCTTTATGAATTCTCATTGAAATTGCATTCAATTAATTCAAACACAATCCACTTCCAAGATTGTTAACCATAGCCTCTCAAGGGATGCAAAGCAATCCTTAACTCATGCTATGTTCATCTTTTTGATACATTATTCCATAATAAACAAATATTACTTGGAAAAAATTTAAAGCAAAACAATCACTAAATTCTATAAGGAAATAAATTAGGGGGGAAAATTGTAAGGATATACTTAAAACATAGCAATATAATCGAAGTGATAGAGGTCATGTGTAAATCATTCTTCTGCATTCAGGATCATAAATATAAAGATTATAAAGAAAACCTTACGAAATGCATACCATTTTATATCATTATATAGTTTTCGTTTTCAGTAATAGTGTTCAACTATTGGGCATGTAGAAGAAAGAACAAACACTACTGTATATACAACCATAAAACAAAATCATTGAAATTACACTTTAAGAGAAATCATTATGTATGTGCCAATGAGGAAGTACTCGAAGGTGCACCAAACCAGTTGAAAGAGCCAATATGCTGCACGTACGCCCGGTTGTACACAGTTCTGTATAGACTGCTAATCGCCTTTCTATATCATCCACACCTTTTCAAACCACACATTAAAGTTTCTCACATTCTAAACTACACCTCACAATTCTTACAACTATTTTTAGGGAACTAAAATAGATTAAATTTCTCGAAAAGACGATTTGCAGCCCACTCAACTTAGTAGTTGAGAGCTTTGTCTTTAACCACAAGGTCCTGAGTTCAAGGCCCAACACATAACTGTGATTTAAAACAAACAAAAATTTTTCCAAAGAAACAAAGGCAAAATATCACAATCTTTAATCCAAACTATTATATACACTGAGATTAGCTCAGCTTTTGCTCACCTTATAATCATCTTTCTCTATCAATGCTGTCAATCCATGAAACTAGCTGCTGAGTTGATGGCCTCAATTTAGGCGATTCATTGACACAAAGACACGCGATCTCAAGTGCACGGAGGAGCTGTTTTTCGAGCTCCTTACGGTATATAATCGGATCAAACAACTCAGTCTCCTTCCTCTCCTTCATCTTAAGCACCCATAACACCAACTCCCTGCTTCCTTTTGGCTTAGTGATATCTACCGGCCTTCGACCAGTGAGCAGCTCTAGAAGAACCACACCAAAACTATAGATATCTCCCTTAAAAGTAGCTATGGAAGCTTGGCCATATTCTGGCGGAATGTAGCCCAATGTTCCAACAAGATCAGTGGTGACATGTGTGTCATAAGGTAGTATGAGCCTTGCTAGCCCAAAATCAGCCAAGTGAGCTTCAAAATGTTCATCAAGTAAAATATTACTTGATTTGATGTCTCTATGTATTATATTTGGCTGGCATGATTGGTGCAAATAAGCCATTCCCCTTGCTGCTCCTTGAGCTATCTTAAGTCTTCTGAACCAACATAACATAGAAGCACCATCTGTTCTCTCATGGAGCCAGTAATCTAAGCTTCCATTTTCCATAAAAGAATAGATCAAGAGCCTATCTTTCCCAACCTTGCAGTAACCTTGGAGCAAGACGAGATTTTCATGTTGCGCCATGGAAAGAGCTTCAACCTCGGCTTGAAATTCACGCTCCATCTGACAAAAATCACCTGACAGTCGTTTGATCGCCACCTTTCTTCCGTCTTCAAGTGATGCCTTGTAGACCAGACCAAAGCCTCCACATCCTATTAAAAAGGATTGATCAAAGTTGTTTGTAGATTTCAAGATGGCATTGATGCTCATCTCCTTGTTGTCTTTGTTGTGAAACACAACCTCCAATGGAGATCCGGCGGCTTCTAAACCATCATCATTGTTTGCCACCACCTTCGCATTGTCTTCTTGCTTTCTGGAAAGAAATTTTGATACAACCAAGTAGATTATTATAAGGAGAAAGGTGATTCCTGTTGCCATTCCCACTGCAACTCCTGCAATCATAGCTTTGCTCGTCTGCTTTCTGCTTTGAGGAAGATGACTGGTTTCAGACTGACAGGGAGAGAGATGAAAGCCACATAGATCCTGATTTCCTATGAAGTCAGAACCGGAGAAAGTTGAGAACTGGCCACCAGATGGAATTGGACCAACTAAGTTATTGAAAGACACATCAAAATTGGATAAAAAGTTCAGCTTGGTTAGTGCAGCAGGTATATTTCCAGTGAGATGGTTGTAAGAAAAATCTAACTTTTCCAAGCTTGCCATTCCTGAAAGCTCCTCAGGCATGGACCCTGATAAATTGTTCTTGTGCAAATCCAGGACTAGGAGCAACTTGAGACTCCCAAACTCCGGTGGGATTGGACCAACAAGTTCGTTGTTACTCAGAATCAAAGATGGCGGGAAGCTGCCAAGATTGTTATACTGGAACGCCTTCACGGAAGCATTTCTCTTGACAAAAAACGGGAAATTTAGGATGGATGGTGCTTGAATGGATGAATTGGGATGAATCAAGCTCTTCAACCCCGCTAAACTCACTGGAATTTCTCCTCTGAGAGAGTTATTTGAGATATCAAGATAAAAGAGAGCATCAAAGTTCCCCAACCATGGAGGAATTGACCCGCTCAATTTATTCCATGATAAATCCAAGATGCTCAAGTTGGTGCTTCTGGTCAGCCATGTTGGGATAGAACCAGAAAAACCACAGTTTGCAATGACAAGAACCTTCATATTAGTAAATCCATATATTCCTTCAACCGGGATAGTCTCGCCGCCATGAAAATTCAATGTGAGGACCAAAATAGTAAGGTTGCTGCAATGCTGCAGCGTTTGCAGTGCTGATGATATGTTGGTGAAGCTATTGTTTGAGAGAGATAAGTAAGAAAGTGAGTTGAGGAGCTTGAAGCTATCTGGAATTTCACCAATAAGGTTGTTCTTAGCGAGATTTAATGAGTTTAGATTTGAACAATGTGAGAGGCTACTCGGAATGAAGCCCGTGAAATGATTTGAACCCAGATTAATGGTGCTTAGCATATGCATAGCAGAACAATTTAGATTTATCTCTCCACTTAGTGAGTTGTTCCTAAGGTTGAGAACTCTAAGATTTGTCAAGTTGGAGAAAGAAATAGGCAAAGTACCATTGAAGCCATTATTCTGGGCAGAAAATGACTCTAATTTACTGAGTTTGTCAAATACATTGGGAATAAATCCAAAGAAATTGTTCATAGAGAGATCCACATGAAGAAGGTTAGAAAGATTGCTAAATCTTTCGCTCAATGAACCTGAAAGGGAATTCTGCTGCAAGTGCAGGTATTTCAGGGATTTCAAAGTAAACAAATCATCAGGTAATCCGCCAGAAATTTCATTCACATCAATGGAAAGCTGAACAAGGGCCTGGCAGTTGCCGAAGCCCACCGGAAACTGGCCGGAGAAAGCATTCATTGTAAAAATGAGGTTTTGAATCTGAGAAAATGAACTGCAGAAATCTGCTCTAATTGGACCAGAAAAACTATTGTTTCTGACATCAAAAGCTATGAGCTTTACAGAACTGGAGAAGATGGGAAGGATTCCGCTGAACAAGTTGTTTGAAAGGTTGAAACTTTTGATAGATGGAAGGTCTGGATTGGGTGGTAAGGATCCAGAAAGTCCGTTCATGCTGAGATCAAGAAACTCCAATCCAGAAAGAAGAAAAATCTTCTGCGGGACAGAACCGCGAAGAAAATTGAAGGATAGATTGAGATTCATAAGACGATCAAGACCGGCGAGGCTATCTGAGATTGAGCCGCGAAGACTCCTTTCTGCGAGATCCAATCCAATCACTCTTCCTTCACCTAAAACCAGACTATCGCAGAGGACTCCAGGCCATCTGCAGCAGTCAGAGGTGGAGGAAGACGACGACGAATTACTTCCCCATCCTTGGATAGCCGAGGCCATGCCGGCCGAGAAACCCAGAAGCGCGCTCAAATCACCGGAGTCGCAGGCCTGGCTCAGCGAATTCAACAGAAGAACCGGGGAAGAAACGAAGAAGAGAACAACAAACAAACACCTCGTCCGCATTGAAAATGAGCCCAAAAGGTACTCCGGAAGAAAGCGAGTAAATAACTTATCTGACCGAAATGAAGCTCCTTTTCAATTCAGAATCGTCGAAGAACAGAACCCATTTCATCTTTCGAAAGAATTCTTGCACGGCGTGCAACAGAAGTACAGTTTGAATGAGGAAAAGAAAGCAGGTCATAAGAACGCAAGGAAAAGCGCAAGAAGAAAAGATGAAACTTTGCAGGGAAGAATGGAATAAGATGAAGACGATGAGAACATCCGAGTCGAAATGGCAATATAGAGATGCAGAGAGAGAGGGAATTTGAAGCGTACGAGCTTGATTTCGAGTCTTCTTTCTCCATTCCAACTTCCTCCTTTCTTTCTTCCGCAAGTGTAGACTTTCTTTCCATATTTTAGTTTATTCATGGCAGCAGATGGATTCCATTATTTAATTATCTGATCACAGAGATGGTGACCGGCTAACCCGGAGCAGGCGACCGGCGGTCAAATTACGGCGACAGGCTACGCCGTCTCCGATTGGCCGATCCAACGGTGGGCGATTACATATAGGCCACCCAAAACATTGCTATTTACAAATCAAGCACCCTCTTTCACCCATTTTTCAATTTCTCACTCAAATCTCAAAGTGATGACTAACGGCGCAGGTTTGAATTTTCATGATGCGAGACTAAAAAATTCAACCTTAATATTAAATAATTGAATTGAAAGCAATATGAATGATATATTAATATTTTTTACATACAAATGTTAAATAAAAAAAATGTGATACCTAATTCCGTTGAAATAATTTTGTTAGTGTGTCTAGAATTATAAATAGTGATCATTTATATGATTTAAAATATATTAATATTAAATAATAGATATTAAATAGGTTGGGATATCATACGTCTTTATAATGTTCGATAGGCCGCTGTCCAATCCATGTCGACGTGGCCACATCGGAGTCGTTGTCTAGTTCTGTAGTCATCCAAACACGAGCGTAACTAGCTTCTATTTTTAGAGGGAGCAAACTTATCATGAAATGAGTAAAATTAAAGCACTAAATAAGGGTGAGTGAAACACCCAATCTAAATTTTAACTAAAAATATAATTTAATTAAAAAAATTTAAAATTTAAAAAAAATTCATATTCTTAATTAACAATAACCCTAAACAAAAAATAATAATTCAATTTAAATAAAATAAGATTAAAATTTTAATTTAAAATTAAATTTGTTTTTATTTTATTAACTTAAAAATAATTAAATTCGCTAAAATTTATAAAAACAAATAATGTTATTATTTAATATAAATATAGTTTGGAGATACCATAACTAAAATTAAAAAATAAAAAATAAAGAAACTGCAAAATTCAGGATGAATTACATTCACACCACCCAATTCTCATATATTTACATATCTAACACCTAAACTTCTATTTTAACCTATATGCCACTTACCCATGTTTGAAAATGTGTATTTCACTTTTTTTAAATTACAAATAGTGGAATTTTTATTGTGATATGATACATTTAAGTGATATAAATATAAAAAAAAAAAGAATTTTGATGATTTCCTCCTAAAATTAGATAAATCCAATATGAGCCATCAAACAAGAACATATATAATGAAAAGCTCGAGGCAAATTTGCTGACCAAAACAATCTCTTATGATAAAAAAGATATGAAAGATTTACAAACGTACCCTTCAATTCTTATGTATTTATACATCTAAGACCTAAACTTCAACTTTTTACGTACCTTTAAGGTTAAAATAGAGCTATTTTCGAAGTGATTTGAAAGATTTGGATGGTATAAATGTAAAAAAACAAAGTTTAGGTCTTAGATATGTGTGTACATAGGAAGTGGTTGGTATGCATGTAAATATCCCTAAATATAAGGCTAAATCTACTTCTACACTAACAAATAGGAATTCTGCTACACAATCCCATTTCAGAGGGGCAATTTAAGCCTAGCATGGTCCGCATCCACACCTAGCATTTTTTCGATGCACACTCATGCAAAGCCACATTGGCCTGATGGTTGAGAGCTTTGTCGTTCAATCAAGAGATCCTGAGTTATATCAAGAGGTCTTGAACTATTAACGCTCACACATAATCATTCTAATGTATAAAAATTAGATTTAACTTTGTTTTTTTAATTAAAATTATTAAGCTCCTTCTTAAGTAAAGATCAATATTTGATTTTTTTTTTTTTCAAAATGCTAAATATAAAAATATTGGAAGTTGACTTCTCACGTTTGATAGTGTAGCTAGTGAACCACCTCACACCATATGCATGGAAGTTTTGCCTCTTTCTTAACAATGCAAACGCATAATGCACTATGATTGCACTTTGACTTTTTGTTAATTTTATAATATGAAAAACTAATATGTCAATGCTTTGTTCGGTGGTGGAGCCCACATCGTTTAGGGGTTCATTAAGATTTATTTTTCACATATTTAATTATTATAAATAATTATTCTTTACATGAAAATGTATTTTATTTAAAAAACAATATTTTCATATGCATTATAAGAGCCCCCAACCACCCGCATGTGTCTAACTATTTGAAAAAAATTTTCACTATCGAGAAACTGACCAGAGGAGGATTTGAACCTGTGACCTGAGGGGAATTATGATCTTCAAAGAGACTGCTCTACCAACATATCACAACTGGCGA